TTCCTGCAAGGGCATTAACATAAAAATATAGAAATGATCGTTACACTCAACTCTTAACATTTAGTGCTTCGATCTTATTTTAAGTGGTAAACGGGAATCTCTTAAAAATGGCTCAAGTAACAAGACATGGTTAAAAAATATTTATCGCATATTCACAATTCGAGGTTAATTGTGACTTATGCACTAATTGCCAAAAAAGGCCAAAGTATCCTTGATAAATGTTTGTACAAAATCCAAACGTCAGATGCATAACTGCACATAACCTTGCACGATACACAATTCAAGATCAGAATACACTTTTAAAGTGACAAGATTAAATCAGGTCATCACAACTTCACATTTGAGAACTGTTGAACCCTGTGATGCATGGTCGTTTGCATTCTCACTATTTTTACGTATCGGAGACTCCCCCCCCAAGAACGAGATGGAACGTCTTGCCTTGAAGTAGCCCGTTACGTGTTGTGATCTCTGACGTTTCGCAACCACTGGATCTCCTGCTTTTCCTTTTTTCTCTCGTTTCCTCACTCGATCGAATACTTGTGTCAAATGTTATACCCAATCATACGAAACGCAGTGAGATAGCACGGACTAGAAGAAACATTTTTCGTGCATTATGTTATTACGTTTGACATTAGCCAATTTCATAACTTTCTGTCAACTCTGTTGACGATCGTCTTTATACGCAAACCTTCGCCATTTTTTTTTCACTCTGTACGGACCAATACCACGAACCTATAGTTGTCTTGACGCGTTCACAAATAAACCTATGAAATCACAAGAAATGAAAACTTATTTTTCCGTTTCCACAATGCCCGTTAGATGGCTACATTTTGTTTTTATAAAACTCTATTAGATAAAATGTATTATTTCTTCATTTAATCCGATTACTACTTATGTAATATACTTCTATGAATCATATTTTCAATTATCGCGATGTTTTTTCATGTTATCGCTATTATAATACGCATTTAATACACCAAAGTTGTTCAATGTTTTTAAGGCTTTATTTGTACTATTATTTAAAGGGATAACATAAATATTGTTAAATTAAAAATGAAAGCAATGACATTTTAAGAGAAACAATATAAAAAGAAATGTATGTTACAATTTCCATTAGAAGATAATATACAATTGTATAACACATAAATGACACATTATAGTAATAAAATTTTGCTAATTTTACATTAAAGATTATTTAAAACTATAATTAATAACGACCACGAAAATTTCCTCTACTAACCCAATTACCACCACTTCTTCCACGCGAATTACTCATTCCGTATCCTCTATTACCATTGCCTCTGTATCCGCTATAATTGTTATGTCTTGAATACCCGCCACTACTACTACCTCCAGTAAAAGAACCTCCACGATAACTACCACCTCCACGCATTATTTTTGTAGGACTACCACTATCTGAATAAAAATCAGTCAAGTATCCCCTTGGTGGCCTTCGTAAATAAAAACCACCACCTGTTATCTGGTCCAATTCATACCGGCAAGCATTCATTCCGCATAGTGACTTGATCACATTTAATACCTAACACAAAATTCAGATATAATTATTATAATTATAGATGTCATAGGCATGCAATAAAAAAGATTACTATAGAATAATACTTTTTCTTCGTTAGGACTTAATTCTAGAATAGTTTCTGGTTCTTTTGCAGCTTTCACGACAAGACTTTCTAATGCTGGTCGTAAAGCTACTATCGCTGCTGCATGACTAGGATTCATATCTAAATTGATCCAATTATCCAGTTTTACTATATTGTCGACATACTCAACCTTCCGAGAACCAAATAATAATAGATGAATAGGTGATACCATGGTCATTTGTTTACAAGATACTGCTCTTGTACGGATCTATAAATAAAAATAAATTATTATTATCGTAATGTTAGATTAATATTATTATAGTTACCAAATTTATTAAATGAAAAATATAATAATCTTACCTTTTCTCCAAATACGAAAAATGGAAATGGGAAATTTTGTTCAAAGTTACTGCAGTTAACTGATGTTTTGTGAATTAAGGCAGCTTTAGATTCAGTAGTCAGAACTTTTCTTTTTTCTTTATGATAGCAAACATTCGGGTAAAGACCCATACATAATAATGCCGTAATTGTGTCCAGACGAACATCCGCACCAGCTTGATAATTTAACTGTGTAGGGCAAAGAGTTTCTTCCGGAAATCCAGCACTTAGCAGAAGTGCTTGCAATTGATTCTACATATGAAAAATTCATATACTGTTTATTGATACATTACTTTACAGTATATAAAAAACTAATCATCTATATTTACCTTAGCCTCCCATGTTACTTTCAATGTAGGCATACTCAAATTTTTTGAATCACAGAACATTTGTTCCACATACTCTCCACCATTCCTAGCTTCTTCCCATGCTTGAAAAGCATGTAACATTGCTACATGATCACTATATCTTGCACCAGCAAACCATTTTTGTTGTGCGGATAATCGTCTTACATCAGGTCCCATATTATACACTTCTGGAAATGTTGTACTATTCGCAGCCATTGTTGAAAGTGCATCACCAACACAAAATATACAACCTAGAATTATCATCTTGCCTAAACGTGGCTCTATTGGTAATCGAGCCAATATTTTACCAAGAGGCGTTAACTCGTTGTTTTCATCCAAGCATTTCATCTCTAAAATAAAATAATATATGTAGTTTTAAATAGTAATAATAAATGTTTACGTCAATAAAAAATATACCACGTAATATGACTTCAGCTTCAATTACAGCATCTATTGGGGGTGGTTCAATTGCTTTTGACAAAAATTTTCCAATACTCCCTAATCTCAATAATTTAATACTTAATGCTAACTCGTGTAAAGGTGTTCTAAACATTTCTGGGGTCATGTGTTCGTCCATTTTATCAAATCGTGCTTTAGAACACAAATGGAAACAAAATCCTGGTCTAACACGACCTGCTCGACCTTTTCTTTGTTCTAAGTTTGTTTTACTAGCCCAAACAGTAGCATAATTCGTCATATTATTATGAGAAGTAAAAAGTTTCATTTTAGCTTTGCAAGAGTCTATTACATAAACTACATCGTTAATTGTGATCGAGGTTTCAGCAATATTTGTTGCTAAAATAATTTTCGTTATTCCTGGTAATACAGGGTCGAAAACTTTACGTTGATCTTCTCTAGGTAATTGTGAATGCAATGGTATAATTACATAATTTGGTCCTCCAAAAGTGGGGTGTTGCTGTAAATGTTTCATTAATGCAAATATTAAATTCCAACCAGGTAAAAAAATTAATACTGCGCCTGGAATATCTTGCTTATTAATGTACTTTAGTAGAACTTCGATAAGTTCAAAGCTAATCTCTTTTTCAGTAAGCTGTGCCATAGCATTCTTGGTTTGTACGCAGTATCGTGCATCAATAACTTTATTCAAATTCTCTTCTGGTTCTCCTTCCGTCGGTAAATCATCTGAATCTCGATTTTTCCGTTTCTTGGAATCCATAGGTGGAACAAAGTTTGTTAACTGTATACAATCTTCTAAGAAATATTGTTGCACAGGATACGATCTACCAGGTATTTCTATTACTGGACAATTATTAAAATAATTACTGAATAACGTTGTATCGATCGTAGCTGACATTAGAATAATTCGCAAATCTGGATACATATGAATCATGTCACGGAGTACTACCATAATAAAATCAGAATTAACATCTCGTTCATGAATTTCATCAACAATAACATGTGATACACCTCTTAATCCACCTTCTAATTTCCTTAGAAGTACGCCAACAGTGCAGAACATAATACTACCATAAGGTCGTGGTAAAAAAGATTCAAATCTTACAGAATAACCAACAGACTGTCCTAGATTTTCACATCTTTCTGAAGCAACTCGATCAGCTACAGATACAGCAGATATTCTTCTAGGTTGTGTAATAGCAATACTGCAAAATGCACCTTGACCTGATGCAATATAATCGTCTAAAATAAACTGGCACACTTGAGTTGTTTTACCACAACCTGTATTTCCTCGAATAATGATTATAGGATTTTCATTTATAGCATTCATTATTTCGTTTTTCATTAAGAAAACTGGTAAAGTAGATCTTTCTTTAATACTCTTTTGAAGACTATCATCTTGTTGCAATCTTTCTCGTTGTTCATGTAGTAACTCTTCTGACATTTGTTCTAAGGTCGTTACAGCCAATTTTCCCTCATCAATATTGCAACCAGTCCATGGATTCCAATTTTGTTGTGGTGGAGACCAACTTACTACTCCAGCTGGTTGTGGTGCAGATGAGATAAAATCATCTAATACTTGATTTGTTAATAAAGAGATAGAAACATTAGATGGATCACTCTGTTCCTTTACACATAAGGCCTACAATTAATATTGTATATGATAAATTAGTATTATATATTGTAAATTGATATTTTGTAAATTAGAACTTACTATATTTAATAAAAAAAACAGATTTATAAGGGTAATGTTAACAATAAATTACTTGTTTCACTGGAATAGGTGTTATATTCAAACTTAGCAGAACATCATGTATCTGACTTATCAAATCTGGTGAAATTTTAACTGGATATGGTTTTATTTGTTCGGCTTCCTTATTTTTTTTCAAAGTTCCACTAAATGCCTCAATAACACCAAGATGATACAATTGTCGAACAAGAGACAAAGCACAACTTTTTGATGCTGTTTGTTTATTTGAACCAGTTTCACGGCCAGTGATATCTGAAATTTTGATTACAATTTTTATATAACAGACTAATTGTGAATATTTATTTAAAGATATGAAGACCTACTTCTCCCAAGTTGTTTTACATAAAATGTCATTTCAGCCATAAAACTCCTAAACAAGAATATTTATTATTAATGTTTTACATATATGCTTTACACCTGTAAAATAGTAAATTTAAAAAATAATTATAATGACAAATTCAACTTACCACTTGAATATATCCAAGACCACATTGGAGTACATTGTAATAAATTTATATGAGTGATTGCACCAAAACCATTATTGAATCATTTCAATTATAGTTTTGGTTAAACAGCAGGTTCATCTGTGCACAAGAGAAAACAATATATTTCTCTTGTACCAGCATTAAGTATAAGTAAATATTGTACTCTAAAATGGTCTTGTGGAATTTCAAATGGTATGGTAAATCATTCATGCAATTTGCTTTATATCATGTTGAAACAAATCTTTAATACAATTGGGGACATCAAGTGGCATCATGATATTGCAATGATAAATCCAACCCAATGCAAAAGTAAACAGCTACATTGAAACAATCCATACCTAGTATGATCTGGACCAAGTGGGGTATATTTGTAATCAGCATTAATTTTGTTAGTTTGCATAAATTGATGAAGCTTTGATTTAGCATTTTCTATAGTCCAATTTCCATGAATTCCGGAATTTACATCGACATCTTCTGCATCTTCAACTTTTTTTTGATCTGCTATTCTATCAATATAAGTATAATTGCTTTGACCATGTTCATTATAAGCTCTATATGCTTGACCTATATCATTTGGACCCATTCCATCTTGAAACACAGATCTAACTGGACTAACAGATTCTGATTTAATAGGTACTGCATCTTGTGATTGAATGTATCCTGTATCTTTTGGAACATCATCTGCATTTACATGTCCTGCACGAACTAAGTAATTAACATAATCTTTAGCTGCATTTCCTTGAGCATCTTTTTTGTTGGTTGAATTTCCGGCACCAACATAATCAAATCCGGGTACGCGCAATTCACAAAGAAATCGCTGTCGATGTTTCGGTCCTATAAAATTAATAGTTTTAAGCAAATTCTTATTTTTATATAGCTTAGAAAATATTTTTACAATACCTGTTGGTCTAACGTCAAATTGTGGTTCTCTGCTATTTTTTGCACACCATTGATGAAAAAAGGATTTTATATCCCCCATTTTTTAATTTTAACAATACACTTGGATTAAAAATGTAGAATTTTGATCATTTATTAATCAGAGCTAATATAACCTATATGCAAGTTCAGACTCCAAACAATTTTACTGCTCTTATGGCGTCAAACGGAAACGGAAGTACTTGTTTGTTAAATACTATTATATGATTTCATGAATACATCGGTTTATGCATTTGTATATATCTTTCACTTTATGAAACTTTTGGTAATTTATTAGTAATTAAAAAATTTTTTTATAATATTTCGATATTTTGTATGAAAAATATGTAGAATATATAATTCCTTATAATTAAAATAATTTAATATATTATTCGAAATATTAAACATAATAAAGTTGTACCCTGTGTACTTTTTGATACAGTTAACAGTACCCAATAAATTTTACTATTACTTAAAAGATCATGAAGTACAATATTATGACAACATATAGAAAATTAATGGTTTATTTACAATGTGATTTAACTGGTACATTAATTCATGTATGCAATGATAATTTGTATTATAATTTATAGTGAATATATATGCATTTAATACATTATAATTAAATATTAAAACGTGAAGCCATTTTAAAAAAATAGTAATATACATACAAAAGAATAACACGAGATAATATCCTTCTAGTAGAACATAAGTACAATTATCAAATGTAAGTATGGAATAATGGTTATCCTCATTGAGTAGTAACCAAATTTTGTAAGAAAAATACAATTTGTTATTTTTAAAATATTGTTTGTCAATAAAATAAGAATATTCAAAAGATACTTAATAGTGTATAAACTAAATTAATAATTATACAAGGAATTTATTATAATCTGTATACTATTTCAAAAAATTATGGGTAAAGGTGTCGATACTGTGGCAAGCCTTGATGTTGCTGCAATTCTAGGACTACGAGGTGATTTATGCATTTGTGACTGTGACAATTTTGAAGTTGTTGGAGTTGTTGCTAATGGTAAATTTTTTCGTAATGGCTTAGCAGGTGTTCGTACTGGTGTTCGCATTTTAGATTTACTTGCATTTGCTAATATTTGTTCTGGCAATAAAGAACTACGTAGTTCTTTCCTTTCCTCTAAATGTTCTTTAAATTGACTGTACGTAGTCTCAGTAACAGCTGAACTTTGTGACATAGAATTTTCTTTCTTATGACTACTTTTTACTTGTACTATCCTTTTAGGAATTTTTCTTTTACTTTTAGATCCATTTGCTCCTATACTTATATTCCTACGTTTTGCAGAAGTATTTGGTGAAGGACTAAACAAAAGTTTTCTTTTTGAAGAATTAAGTGGTGTATAGCGACGAGTACTTAATATACCTGGTATTTTTTTAGATGAGCTTAAAGCAGTCTTTTTAGAAGCACTTAGTGGTGCTTTTTTTAATGACCTATCTTTTGTTTCTTTTCTAGCCTTCTTTATTGTTTCTTTCTCTTCATTCAAATGTTCCCATGATTCCTTAGATAATTCCTCTATTGACATTCCATTTATGGTAAATACTTCCCCATGCACACTTTCATATTCCTTTATTAGATTTCTTAATTGTTCTTCAATTTTTGGTAATTTTTTCTGAATAGTTTTACGTTCTTTTTCTTCCATTAATAATTGACCACCACGATTATAAAATCTATCTGGATTATTTGCACGTTGCAATAATTCTTTCATTTTTATCCATAAATTATCACGTTCTTCTAAGAGATCATATATAGATTTATTAGTCTCATAAAACTCTTGGATTCGTTTTACTTCTAATTCATGTAATGTTAATAAATCTTCTGTATATGTTTGTGAATTAAAGTGTATAAATTGTCTCCTTTGTTGTTCACTGAATTTACATAAATCCCATAATTTAACTAGTTCAGATCTTACTTGTGATACATATTTGGAAATATTTTGCTTTCTTTTCTCTTTACAACGTTCTAATTCTATAGTTAATGCATTTATGGTTGCCATACTATAGCCCACATAACTATTAATAAATGACTGACAAATATGTTCAGGTTCATCAAGGTACTTCCATAATGCAATTAACTCTTGCTTAATATCTTCTACATGTTCTTTGGCTGTATCCACTTCATTTTTTAGTTTATCCCTTAATTCTCTTAATTTAGTCATATTAGTATTGTTAAACACAAAATTTTCATTGTTTTTATATACTAAATGTTCAAAACTTGATGAAGGAAGTATGCCTAAATCATCCATCATTCTAACAATTGCTCTACGCATTTCGTTAAAAATAGTTTCTAAACGAATTTTTTCGTTTTCTTGTTTTTCAAGATAAAGTTTGAAACTATTAAGCTCTTCCTCTGTAGGTAATTTTTCTTCTATATTAATTGGCTGGGTGCCTAACACTTTACAAAGGGATTTTTCCTTTACAAGTAATTCTTTTAAGTGTTCCATACGTTGCTCCTTACAGTATTGTAATTTATGTAGATCAGTGCGCAGCACTTGTTCTATTTCTTTCAATGGTAAGTGTTCATACCCAGCAGTTACAATATCTGTTCCTAATTCCTTTGTTAAAATAGCTATTTGTTTCATTAAGTCCCTAACATTAACTAATAACATTTCTTTTTTCAACTCTGATTCTGAAACCATATCGTGTAGTAAATCATCTATATGATTGAATGCTTGTTCGCAATATACCGAACGCGCTTCTTCGGTGAATCCTATTTCTTCCCATATTGTATGCAATTGAGACAATGTACTTCGAATATTTGCTAATGTTTTTTGTATAACTGGTTCCCATTTAGACAAATCGGACATTCTTATATTTCTTTTTTAAATGTTTTAACTTAAAAACAATGTTTAGCACTTAACAATAAGAACTTTGCCAAACTCACGTTACATTTACTTTACTTACAGAGGTAAAACGCAAATATACTATATAAAAACAAATTTCACTCGTCGTTACACGATTAACCGTTGTTCTTTTGAATTCATATCCTACAACAACGCCACTAACACGTCTTACTGAAACTACATTGCCTACCTCATATAACTAAAACTTTTCTGATTGGTTGATCGTTTAACACCAATAGCTCACTAGAAACTTAAATGTTTAAGTAATAAATTTAAATAATAAGTTTGAATTTAAATTTGTTATTTAAAATAGTAATTATTTATCATAAACGTGTGAAAACTATTTGACATTAAATTTCTTATTCTTTAACACAAAAAGAAAATTTTAATTTAAATGATATTTTTAAAACATTATATAAAAATTGATAGTGAGATATAAAATTATATAATTTTCCAAAATATTCTTAATTTGACAATTGGTTATACAATTATATACAATAATAAATTTTTGTGTATGAGTCAAAACAGTGTTATAAATTGTTTTTATTTTAGGTTATGTCTATTTGTAAATACTATGTATGCATGAAGCATTCCATAAAAAGAATGACATAAATAATACAATTTGAAGACAAAATAAATGTGATATAAAAATGAGTGATGAAAAACAAGATTCACATGATGAAGTTCCAGAACTTGTTAAAAATGCTGTATTAGTACATAGCTCTCCCATTCCAATTGGAACACCTATTGTGAAAGGTTGCATAATTTCTTTAAAATATAACAAAATTAAAGTTCAGTATAATTAGTGATTAAATACGATTATATTGTCAAATAATATCACTATATTTCAGGATATGATTGGAATAAAGGGATTGACTATCATTTTTTGTTTGAAACATATAAAAATTCTGGATTTCAAGCAACAAATTTTGGCTTGGCAGTAGACGAAATTCATAAGATGTTAAATTCTAGAAATATTCCTCTTGAAAATGATCAAATTGATATTTTAGAAGAAGATAAGTTTATAGAAAGAAAATCTTCATGCACAATATTTTTAGGATACACATCTAATATGGCTTCATGTGGAATTCGAGATACTATAAGGTTCCTTGTACAACATAAAATGGTCAGTTAAGATACTTAAGAGTATTAACTATGAATATTATTGGTAATTTAAATATACATTTATTGTATTATAGGTTGATTGCATTGTAACCACAGCAGGTGGTATAGAAGAAGATTTAATAAAATGTTTAGCACCAACATATATAGGAGATTTTCATTTAGAAGGAAAAAGTCTTAGACAATGTGGTATTAATAGAATAGGAAATTTATTAGTACCTAATGATAATTACTGTCTGTTTGAAGATTGGGTCATGCCTATATTAGATGCAATGTTAGCTGAACAGAAAACAAAAGTATGAGGCAATAAAAAGAAGTCTCATATTTCTTTCTTTTAAAAAATAGGGTATTTGAAAATGTAATTTTTAGGGTACAGTTTGGACACCATCTAAAATAATAACAAGACTTGGTGAAGAAATTAATAACGAAAATTCAATATATTATTGGGCTGCAAAAAATAAAATCCCTGTGTTTAGTCCTGCATTGACAGATGGCAGTCTTGGCGATATGATGTATTTCCACACTTTTAGAAATCCAGGCCTAATTATAGACATACTTTCAGGTTTTAACTTATTGTAAAATAAGGTTCTCAATTTTGTGTTATTTGTAATATAATTTATTTTATCAAATAAATATTTATAAACATTTGTGATATTTAGATATTAATATAAAGTAATATACTATATTAAATGTTATAAGTTTTTTAATATTATATATATTAAATATATTACAGATCTTAGGCGATTGAATACAATGGCTATGAAAGCAGTGAAAAGTGGTATGATCATCATTGGAGGTGGTATTGTAAAACATCACATTTGCAATGCAAATCTTATGGTAATAAGAAATGCGTGAAAATAGATTTTAATGATAAATTAATCTTAAATAATTTACATTTTAGAGAAATGGAGCTGATTATGCCGTATTTATAAATACATCTTCAGAATTTGATGGTAGTGATAGCGGTGCTCGACCAGATGAAGCCATTTCGTGGGGTAAAATTCGAATGGATGCAAAACCAGTTAAAGTAAGAATATTTCTATGTTATACTCAAATAATTTAAATAATCATTTAAATTAACGGTTATTAATATTTTAGATTTACGCAGAAGCATCTCTAGTGTTTCCACTTCTGGTGGGAGAAACTTTTGCGCGACATTATCATTTAACAAAAGAAAAAACTGTTTCAGACGTTTAAAAAAAATTTAATAAATGTATTTGGATGAAAGAACGAATTTTTAACTTCTCTTTCCCATATATGTATATTTATAAGCCTTTGAAACTTTTATTTATAATTTATTAAATTATTTATGAATAACATTAATAATGTAAAATTTTTAAATTTTCGTAGAAAAAGTAGTCTCTAAGTAAAATATTGTATGTGTTCACTCAATTTTTTTTTCCAATTTCACACAAATTCAGGGAGCACTTTGATGACGTTGCGCCTGCGCGGTGGTAACGTCCCTGCGCGGCAGGTGTCCGCGACGCAGGGTTGCAGGCGCCGAATAGTGGTTGTCCACGGTGGGGGTAACATCGTTTGTCAGTTGTTTTCCGTAAGTCCGCGCTCGTGGACGGGCGCATGAAACCAACCCCCAACCCCTTTGACAAGCTCCCCGACTTTATGGTTTCTGCCCCCGCGGGATCGGACGTTCAGAGGCTGGCGGGCCCAACACAATCATTTACCCTCCGTACGATAGCCCTTCCGATTCCAATTTCGCTATTCTGGTTAAAATAATTCTCCGTTAATTTCCGACGTTCGCATTGATCCGTCATTGTCGGTATGAATGATGATGGACGTGGAGGAGACCAATACCGCGTCCACCGCAAGTTCCTCACCAAGACCCTCCAGTCCTGCGGCAGATTCGACTTTCATCAGGTAAGAGATGGATTCGAAGTTTTGTGTCTGTTAAGGTTAGGGTACGCGCGATTTGAACGATTGCATACAAATGCAGAAACGATTTCAAAGTTGTTCAACAGTTGTTATTGAATACAAAAAGTAGTTATACAACTCGTTTAATGTGCAATACCGCTTTATTTCATATGTAAAGCGTATAACATACATTACTTGTTCGGCTATTCGAAATAAAGGAAAGATATACATGACGTTTACAAATAGAATATGTTAACACAATTACAGTTGAAAGAAGCCTATTATAATGGCGGTAATATTTGAAAGAACTGAATTAACGGTTACACTTTGATGAACTCTTTTGATATAAATTCACTATAGAGTTAGTGCATTACTTTGCGTACAAAGAGATAACGCTTTGTGCATCATGAAAGAATCTTGCCTTTGAAGTAGTACGTTTTTCTACTACACAGTCACGTAACCAGGCAAAGTGCACGAAACTTCTTGAATGTGTGCATGATCTTTCAAAGTGCCCCCTCAGGAAAGATGATAGAGCCACGTACTGTGCCCATGTTTTTGGAACTGGATGCAATTGTACAGGCATCATTTAATAATGCAAACTTTAAGAGTATCATGTTCCGTCTCCAGCATACAGCTTTGTTTTTTTATTCAGTCAGTTTAAAAATACAAACGGTCAAATATGGCGCTACCAAAACCTACCGATTGGCATTCTTCCGTAGATAGTAGAGGTTATGATATTTCAATTTTCAATTTTTATTACTATAAATAAGATTCAATAATTTTTTCTGTCATATTTGACTTCACTAACTTTTACTATTACTTTGCTATACCTAAGCTCAATCTGATTTCGTACAATAATTTTCAATAATTTCCAATCGTGATAATTTATTTCGTTCCTTCTTCACAGCACTTCTTTTCGCTAGTATCCTCTCATTTACAAGCTTCGTTCATTTATAAACTCCATTTTTCACTAATATTTCGAATTTACATGGCACAATTTAACGAGTTTCTCACCGGTTATTTCCTTTTCATCCTAAAATTAATTGCCGTTCATTCATTCATAAAATTAATCGCCATTATGCATCCGCGAAATAACCAGAGACTCAAATTACAGTGAAAAGCTCGGCGAAAATGAACGTGTCGTTTAAATCTGAATAGAATTTTTGCAGGACGGGCAAGTCGATTTCGCGTCTTTGGTCATTGTTTTTAAACGTAAGCACCAGGGAGGTCTCTACGAGCGTAAAACCTCGTTCGTGGTTTACAGTGCGTGAATAAAGAAATTTAATTGAATACATTGTACCCGGCACGAAAGAGAGATCGAGTAAGTGAGTTTCGAAATAAAAATTACGCGTTCCTTTCTGTTCAACGTTTTACGGAACAGTCGGTAGGACAGAAGTCGGGACGTTGGTTAGAATGTGTTAATAATTCTTTAGGCCTGGATCAATGGGCACATGAACGGTGTTCATTATTTTTTCACGCGCAATATGCACGTACTGCTTGTTCATTACTTAGATGTCATTATGCGGTGTTCCTTTTGAAAATGATAAAGGGATGAAGTAATTAGATGAGTATTAGTAAAATGTAAAAATAATTAAAATCTTCCATGTGTCATGTAATGTGTGATGTTAAATTATTTATTTTTATTATTTAATACTTGATACTTCATGCTTGTTATTTAAATAAGTATTTCTTACCAGATATTTTGCTTTTGTCATTTCACAATATACATTAATTAATTAAATTCGAAAATTCGAATATCAACAGATTTGAAAATTTAAAGATCGAAAATTCAGATATTAAAAAATTCGAAAATTAGAACATTCGGACATTAAAAAATTCGAACATTCAAATATCCAAAAATTTGGATATTAAAAAAAATAAAAAATTTGCAAATCTGGTAACGCGAGAGGTTAGAAATTAAGAAATTAAAAATCATAAAAGTTCTGAAAATCTGAAATTTATATGTTAATTTTTCAATTTTCGCGTAGATCCTACTAAACAGAAAACATTAGATAATGCAAAAACCTGGTAAACAAGTGAACCAGTTACAGAAGCATAGGTTTCCTCATGTAGCGGTATTTCATTCCGCGATGCCTTTTCTGATTTATCAACCTACTTTTAGCTTCCCCTTCCTCAACATCCTCTTTTTTTTCGCTATACGAAAATCCATTTCCATATCTTTCCGTGCCATCTGCACCCGTTCATCATACAATCCTTATTTCAAAATGAAAGTTTTTTACGCGGCGGGAGCCACCGAGTGTATTTACGATGTTGCTAACTTCTTTTTCTCTTCACGTGGATACTTTCGGCACAAGTAATTACCGTTAACTATGCATCTAAGCGGAGAACTTACGAGAGATTCTTTATTTCTCCACTTTCTCATTGCGAAATGTAACAACCGTTCATTATGCTTGCTTGTTATGATTTACTCACCAAGACCATTCATTTGCGATGGACCTGTTTACTCTCCTGCGATCCTCGATTCTATTCAGAACAGAACAAGATTTTATTCCAATATTTTTTCATAAGTCCTCTTATCGAGATCTGTATCAGGTACATCGTGACTTTGAAAGAAATTGAATTTGTAGTACACATTTATATACTGTAATAATTCTACTGTATATATATTAAAGTGTGAAAAAAACAAGAAGGATATTTATAAATGAAATGATTTGAAAATTTATTGGTTACATATGAATAAATCGTATGTTGTAAATACTTCAAACATGCGGTTTAATTTGTTCTATCTTTGCAGTACCGGTTTATAATGAATATTCTTTATTTTTACTTACTAATAGACGATATTCGAGTCGCAGAAATAAAGTGGGTTACACTCGTTGCACCGTTTGAATGATAGGAGTCAATGGAAAAATTTTATGGAAAAGCGTTAAGTGACGCGATCTCACTTGTTTAGGCTTATGTCGAAAACTGGCAAGTGGCGCGATCACGCTTTGTTCGTCGTAAGTATTCAGTAAGCCGAGATGGCGCTGCGGTAGCGTTCGAACGGTTCGTCGATTGCACATGGCGGATCGATGTAGTGACAGTTTTCGACGCAAAATCTGAACAGCGGGATCGCGTTTTGTTTACCTTCAGTATCAATAAAATTGAAGTGGCGTTGAATCCCAAAGCATCGTTAATTGGATATCACGATCCAATGCAGTGACATTTTTCAACACAAAATTTAACAGTGCGATCGCGTTTGTTTACCTTCAGCATCAATAAGATTCAAGTGGCGTTGCGGTAGAATTCGAACGTATCGTTGATCATGCATCGCGTCTTCATGCTGTGACACTGTCTAACGTAAAATATAAAGAGTGTGATCATACTACGTGACATTCAAACAGTTGAAAAAGATCGAAATTCTTGCGGTTTTAACCCGGGCTGACATTTTGGAATAAAACAGTTATAATGAATAATCAAGTTCGCGTGTGGTTGAATGGTATTAAAAAAATCGATTCGGAACAATATTATTGTTCCTCGTATCGAAAGTGTGCCTGATAATCCGCCATTGTGCACCCCTAATAGAGAACGAAAACGCGAAAGGCGTGGTTAACTGGTGTTGAGCGTAATTTCGTTTATTTTTCTCCTTTCAAAGTAACTTTGAGCAAACATACCAACGTGTAGTTATACTATCTAGACCGGCCTGTACTCTTTGTTTTGTTATTCGTATCGGTTACCTATATTATTAATCATTAATGTTTACATTGAATTGATTTATTATGGATTTATATTAAAAATGAATAAGTTGTAAAATTTCTATGTAAGTAAATTGAATACAGTGCTAATATATAAGGCAGTTATATTTAAAATTAGATATATTTCGACGTACCATAACCTTGAAATATACATTTTTTAAAATCTTCTAGAATATGAAGTGTTATTTAGGATAGAAAGTATATAGTGAATTCGTTATTTTAGTGAAAGAGGTTAAGAATTTAACCATTTCACGGATATTCTGTCCCTGCTTCTGTATCGATAATAGAGATCTATTTTTAAATTAAATAAAAGCTTTCACGATCGAAATGATGTCTATTTTCAATTTTTCTGTTCTACAATGATGTATTTTATTCCTTGGCCATTTCACTGATCGCCAAAGAGGTTATATTTTGCTAACCCATGGACGATTTTCCTTTCTCCAAAAATTCTGTCGTTAAATCCATCAGGTATACCACCGTTCGTAAGTTTAATTACGCTAGACATAAAATGGCAGATTGGTATATACAATATGGCTTAAAATATAGCGAGATTGTAAAATTATTCGGAAGTAAATATACATTTGATATATTTATTATAATATGTATTTTAGGTATCGAGATAAACGAAGACAT